AGTACCTGTCTAAAAACAGGCCATAGGCAACCCTGTCCCGCTCCTGCCTGAGAAGCAACTGTCACCTTACCAGCTCAGTGAATGCCAGCCCCCCTGCCCCCAGGGCCTCTGCCTTGTGAGGGGTGGAGATAGAAATTCTGTTCTTCAAACATCCACTTCCTCTAAATTGCCTCACAAGCCCGTGCAGCCAGGCACCACAAAGGACCTTCAGGCGCAACCCTGAGGGGCCAACACCAACTTTTTCCTTTTCAGATCATCGCATTTAAAACCCTGCATTGGAGATGCAAACTCAGCCTGTGGTCGTTGTGACTCAGCCTGGACTTGGCCCTGCACCCCAAAACTCCAACTGGCAGACGGGCATGTGTGATTGCTTCAGTGACTGCGGAGTCTGTAAGTGGTCCTGTTAAATGGTCCCCATAATTGATAATGAGGTGAATTGCCAGTGACCATATCCTTCCCTTATTGCTTCCTGACTGTGTAGTAGAAGTTTATAACTTACTACAGGCACCCAGTGTTAACCAAAAAAGCTCTGTGCTGATTATAAGTTATTCTTCTCTAGCCCTTCAAACATAAACAAATTCTAGAGTAAAGATCACAGCTAAAGAGCTAACTGATTCTAACAATGAACAGGTCTGGCCTAATGATTATAAATAGACCTATGTTACTTTAAAATTTTTTCAAGTCTAAGACTAGGCACCATGGCTCACACCTGTAATCCTAGCCCCTTTGGGAGACCAAGGCAGGTGGATTGCCTGAGCTCTTGAGTTCCAGACCAGCCTGAGCCTGTGCGTTTGTTGTGGTGGAAGCCTGTTGTCCAAGCTACTCAGGTGGCTGAGGCAAGAAAATCGCTTGAGTCTAAGGTTGCTGTGAGCTATGATGCCACAGCATTCTACCGGGGGTAACAAAGTGAGACTGTCTTGAAAAAGAAAAAAAAAAATTAAGTCTAACTTGGTTTTTTAAAAAAGACTGTTCATGTTACATGTAAATTTTCCTCACTGTTTTATAGTTCCATTAGGTCCAGTGCCTGGGATAGTTTTCATCCATGGTTTCAGAATGAGCTCACAGAATTTTTACATATATTTTAATCAATGTAGTTAGATTTTTTACACATCTGATAGTGAAGAATTCTGAAGGCTATTAGCTTGCCATTGGGAAAAATATCTCTGACTGTTTTCTTATCTTAAGATCTCTCTAAGTGGGGGTCTTTCTAAGAGATTTCTCACTTAGAAATCTTTCTAAGTGAACTCAGAGGAAGGGAAGTTTGGGATGAGCTAGGGGTTGCAGAGAGGAAGGAGGTGCTTAGTTTTAATACTAAGAAACAAACCTACCTACAAAAAATTTGCTCTGAAGTCTGCCTGCCTCCAGTCCACACAGGGTTCTTGGACAAGGAAAGAAAATACATGAACCTTTAAATTGCCATTTGAAATTGAACTTTGAAATGAATTAAGTTAATAATCACACTGAGAAGCATAGAAAGGGAAAATTACCTAGAGAATGGAGTGAGTACGTTTGTTTATTTGCTTTCATTATCTTACTAGATCATCTGGGTACTACTGAAGCTTCTCAGGACAGTAGTTCAATCTCTACAAATCAAAGTGACAGTCACCACCCAACCAAATCTATACACAAGTTCTAATATGAGCTTCAGTGCTTCACAGCAGTGGGGTTCCTCATGACTTCCTGACAACCCCGAACACTCATGGTTCTTCATCATCTGATCTTCAGCCTGCCCCACCCCCCAGCTAAGTCCCCATTCCACCCTGGGGCACTGGCTGTACCCAACAAACTTTGCCCGGCATGCCAAAGGACCTCGGAGAGGCTGTTTTACCTTTTGTCCACCTTTAAAGCACTTAACTGTCTGTTTTGTTTTTTCTTTTGAGATAGAGTCTCACTTTGTCGACCTCAATAGAGTAGTAGAGTACTGTGGTATCATAGCTCACAGCAACCTCAAACTCTTAGTTTCAAGCAATTCTCTTGTCTCAGCCTACTGAGTAGCTGGGACCACAGGTGCCTGCCACAGTGCCCAGCTATTTTTATTTTTTATTTATTTATTTTTGAGACAAAGTCTCACTATGTTGCCCTGATACAGTGCCGTGGCGTCACAGCTCACAGCAATCTCCAACTCTTGGGCTTAAGCGATTTCTTGCCTCAGCCTCCCAAGTAGCTGGGACTACAGTGCCCACCACAATGCCCGGCTATTTTTTGGTTGTAGCTGTCGTTGTTTGGCAGGCCCACGCGGGTTCGAACCTGCCAGCTCCAGTGTATGTGGCTGGCAGCCTGGCCACTGAGCTACAGGTGCTGAGCCAATGCCCAGCTACTTTTAGAGATAGGGTCTTGCTCTTGCTCAGGATGGTCTCAAACCTGTGAGCTCAGATAATCCACCTGCCTCAGCTTCCCAGAGTGCTAGGATTACAAGCGTGAGCCACTGCGCCCTGTCCTTGATATTCAGCTCAAACAGCATTTTCTACTTAAGAGCCAGGTAGGCCCCATTTCTGTGGGTGACGCTTGGCATCTCTAGCAGGTTTCTGTTGGAGAACTTTTCCTATTATTTGTCTTCCCCTCTAGAATTAAGTCAGGGGTGAAGGGGAGTCCCGGGAAAACTTGCTCCTTTCCCCTAGGTTGGTTCGCTGAAAAGATCAACTTACAGTTATAGTAGATTAATAAAAGAAAGGTTTATTTCCAAAGACCATGCACATGGGGGGACCACAAGAATGATTTCCTGAAGTTTCAGTGATACTGGCTTTTAAAGATGCCTTTTAGAAGGGAAGGGGGAGAGAAACTGGTAAGTATCCATACAGCACATGGTTGCTAAGGGGGGATGGATAGATGGAGGGCAACAGATTGATTAGTAGATTAACCTGAGAGACAGGTATTGTACTTCACATGACCTTAGGGCCAGGTCTATTAGCCTGTGATAAGGAGTCCAGAAGTCCCTTTTCTTTCTTTTCTTTCTTTTTTTTGAGACAGAGCCTCAAGCTGTCCCCCTGGGTAGAGTGCCATGGCATCACAGCTCACAGCATCCTCCAACTCCTGGGCTTAAGTGATTCTCTTGCCTCAGCCTCCCAAGTAGCTGGGACTACAGGCACCTGCCACAACACCTGGCTTTTTTTTTTTTTTATAGTTGTCATTGTTTGACAGGCCCAGGCTAGATTTGAACCCACTAGCTATGGTGTATGTGGCTGGCGCCTTAGCCACTTTAGCTACAGGCACCACCCCAGAAGTCTCTTTTCTGATTCTAAATCACGTTACTCAGGTTTTTTTGAGACAGAGCCTCAAGCTGTCACCCTGGGTAGAGTGCTGTGGCATCACAGCTCACAGCAACCTCTAACTCCTGGGTTCAAGCAATTCTCCTGCTTCCACCTCCCAAGTAGCTGGGACTACAGGTGCTCACCACAATGCCCAGCTATTTTTTGTTGCAGCCATTGTTGTTTTTTGGCGGGCCCAGGCTGGATTCGAACCCACCAGCTCGGGTGTATGTGGCTGGTGCCTTAGCTGCTTGAGCCACAGGCAGGTTACTCAGGTTTTATAGAGAAGCCAATGCTTTCTAATAAAAAAGGCCTTTTCACTGAAAATGATCTTTGTACCAAGGAATCCTATTTTGGGGTCAGCTTTCCTTAGCTCCTTCAGGGGCATTGTCAGTACTGAGGGTAATGATGTCTGGAATATGGTAGGTTTCAGTCAATCAATGAGTAAATGAATGAAGGCAGTGCTGTGACACGAACCACGTACTTTCCAAGGAGCACTCGTTCCTGAAGTGATCTGAGGGTGAGCGGAGAATCTGATGCAAAGCCAAACAGAAACATAAAAAGGTGTTCCCCCATGATTTGAACTGCCGTTCGTGAAAGCAAACTAACTTTCAGCTGTGGTGGGGCAGAGTGGAGTAATGCTTACCCGTGGTCTGCTGTGTCCAGGTCTCTGCGGCACATTTTGTTTCATGTGCCTTGGATGCCAAATTGCAGCTGACATGAATGAATGCTGTCTGTGTGGAACAAGTGTCGCGATGAGGACTCTCTACCGTACCCGCTATGGCATCCCTGTGAGTCTCTTATACTGCTGTATCAATCCTATATGCAGCCATATTCAAAATAACTGTCATAAACATGGTGACCATTTTCATGGCATCCATCACAGTGTGAGTTTGATTGGTGAGAGTTTCCTAGCATGTGCAACCTTGTCGTCAGTTATAGCCATAGATCCTTTGGTTATGGAACCTCCCTCCTAGGTTTCTGTTCAAAACCCCAGAAAATAAATAACTCTCGGCTTGGTGCCTGTGGCTCAAGTGGCTAAGGTGCCAGCCACATACACCTAAGGTGGTGGGTTCAAATCCAGCCCGGGCCCGCCAAACAACAATGATGGCTGCAACCAAAAAATAGCCGGGCGTTGTGGCGGGCGCCTGTGGTCCCAGCTACTTGGGAGGCG